GCTGTTAAGTGGTTTCGTACATACATTCATATGTAGTTACATACATGTACGCATTCATGAACATTAGACTGATTCCAAAAAACTCGACCAACTTTTTTTTAATAGCCCCCTCTTCAATACCTCCGGGAGTTGTCAAAAGAAAATTGTAATTCCCTGTTAGAAAACGAACTTTCGAACAAAACTCAACACAATAGAAAGGATTTTAATTAATTTTTCACCGAAATAGGGGTTTTTAGTGAAATTAATTTGCAAGACTTATTAAACTTTACAATTTTAATTTAAAACTTCTTTTTTGGATAGTTTAAAATACTTTTAATTATTTTACCTAAAATAGGAGAGAACCCTGTAATAATGGCATACGTTGGATTTTAAGTTTGAATAAGCCTCAAACCAGTAGGTTTATCAGAAAATGATGTGAGACGTTTTTTGTAGAGCGTCGAATTTCCTACAAAAATATGTATCGCATTTTTTAGTTCGATAATTTATAGCCGAGAAAACAAATTCCAAAGATGAAAACAATTTTTTTCTAAGTCATTGATTGATATCGAAAATAGAAAACCGCGATGCGCTACCTTTTAAACTTAATATTAAGATTTGCGCTTTTAACAGGCATCTATTTAAAAGAAAAGGTAGTCGATTTTTTTTTTTTTTTTTTTGAATCAGTCTAATGTACATATGTTTTTTTAAGAGAACATCAACCTGCATTCATTAGCAGGTGAGTGTTGATATTTGCTCGCTTATACATACATACATATAGATATGTGTTAGTAGCTTTGCTGTCTGTGTTTGCTTGCGTGTGTGAGTTGTACGTTTAATGTAAATTGTATGCACTTAAATATATGTTTATATTTTTGTATAAAATTCTTTGCTTTTACAACTAAAGTGCATCTCATTTCATCTCGGAATCCTTTCCCAGCTTGACTTTTTTTTGCTATTTTTGTGCTGGCATTATTAAGAGCACACATAATTAGCTCTTTAAGTGTAGTTATGCATAACGCGAAGTTAAAAAAATATCGAGCAAAGAGAACAAAAATTAGCGCACAGCCGTTTTCTTTTTTTCATTTCAGCAAATGATGGAGAGAAATTTTTAAAAAAATATTACAAGCAGTGACTTGGATGTAAAAGAACAGCAGATTACGGAAAGAAGACGATATTTTTGCTCATTGAGGTCCACCTACTGCACGCCAATGCTTACAAAGCCCCTAATTTATTATTCATACTGTATACATATACATACATATATAGTGAGCGTCAAAAATAAGTACACTCTAACGTTTTGGCAATTTTATTTATTTTTTATAAAACTATTTTATTTTTTATTTTTTTTTAAACTATAGTTCATTCAACAGCAAAAACCACAAGAATAAATTTTTTCCATACCAAGAAAAAATAAATAAATAAAATCGTCAAAATGTTAATAATAATAGATTGGCGCTTACACATATCGAGCCCTTACCGCCAAAATCTTCTTTTTGATGCAGAAATATTCCTACAGAATCTAGATGCATTTCTGCATCAAAAAGAAAATTTTGAAAAAAATGTCGCTTACGTTATTTTGGCGGTTAGGGCTCGATATGTTAGTCCTCGGCCGAGCTTCTCCTCCAAATTTTGGCGTGCGCCTTGATGTTGTCACACAAGGGGGAGGGATCTACAGTTTTACGCCGACTCCGAACGCCGATTGTATTTTTATGAGAAGCTGTTTTACTGCTATTATCGAAGAGTTTTAAATTTCTGACATATCGCAGCTATCACACAACGCAAGCTAGATCACTTTTTTGCAATCAGGTCTGACCGAGCGAAGCTTTAATAACTCGCTTAGCATATTTATGCCAATATCAATCAAAAATATTCAATCGATAAATCAAAATAACCTTTGCACTGTCAATTTGCTGCGTCATGAAATGCATGTATGTATGTAGCTAGCATATAAGCTCCAATCCTGCACCGGTAAAAGGAAAAGGTGTGTGCCACCGCACCCTCAATGTTAAAACGTTTGCTGCAGCATTCCATCTCTAACTGAACAGTACATCGGTCAAGTGACATCATTGTTTGAAAGAGAAGAAAAAAATGCCAGCGCCCACAGAACGTTGCTCAAACTCGAAAATGTAAAAGCGCGTGCAACATTAGGTGGCACGTTCACGGCTTCTTTTTTGTTGTTTTTGTCTACGCCACACACGCTCCTTGTCACGCACCCGCGAGCAAACGGAAATTTATTCAAAACAATTTATATAAAACGCTTTACAAATCCTCACCATACATACATATGTATTCACATACGTATTTACTTATATAAAATGATTGCCTGTGGCACTTCGCAGGAAGCGTGCTCATCCAGCAGCACAGCATAAATATGTTGGTGTTAGTGGCATGGTTGAATGAATGAATGCCGGTGGGGCTGGTTGAAAACGAGGCAAACAGTGAAAACCCCTTTACGAAAAGGACAAAAAAATATTGGAAAAGATAATATACATACATATATTTGTAGCATCGACTTGCTGCTTCTGCCTCTAGATAGAGCGAAAAATTCCTCATCATACCTTGGAGCTTATTGCCATTACACAATCCGACTAGCCATTTAACCGCCTACCACAATAACCAGTCGGTTCGGTAGGTTTACGGGTGACACCGTAAAACATTTAAAAATGAATAAATGCAGAAAGCGTGCAGGGAAGAAAAGGTACATAAACTGCAACTAAACTATACACACACACACACACACATGCATATAGGAGAATAAAAATAAATAAAAAACGGTACAGTAGATTTGACAAGCTACTTCTTTAGTGATTTGTTTGAATACACCGGATACATCAACTCCAAGCTGAAGTGGGTTTATTTTTATACATTTTTTTTTTTTTCGTTTTATTATTTTAATATTCAAAAACTCCATTGCAAGTACTTGTACGTATGTAGATACTCGTACACACATAAAAATGCGCCCTATTTGATCCAGAATGCTTTTCCCCTTCTTTTTGTATGGTATTGTTTTCGCACAATTGACTTAAACAAAGGACATGTGGAGCACGCAATGATAAGCAGGCATTGGGGTGTTCGATTATTCGCTTTTTTTCGAAGACCGATTTTCGAGTTATTCTTAAAATACCAATTTAAAATAAACCGGTTTCTCCTTATCAAATTAAGAAAAAACCGGAGACCCGATTTTCTTTTGTATATTTTCTCTGCCGTAAAACTTACTCTTAGTCAGTTATCATGACCAAAATTAAAATATGACTGCTAAAAATCGGTATAGCTTTAATTGAGAAATCAGTAAGGCAAGCAAGTTCGAATTATTTGGGATTACAAGTAAAATAAAAAAAATAAAAATATTGTAAAAAGTTCACACTCAACCGGGTTCACCGATCTCAACCTTTCATTATTGGGAAAAACTTGAGCATGTACCATCGACTGTCTTGGGAATGAGAAGACATCATCCACTGAAGCAGACCGACTATTCAAGTATAGTCTATTATAGACCGACTATTTCATCGATAACCAATCAATACCTACGTCAACTCTCACCCCTTGAATTCCGTCATCGGAGACTATAACGCCATCTATCGCAGGCGAAGAGCTCGGAGTTGCTTCGTGTGTATCGCGAGGCTTTGAGACACAACTCCATTCTGGATATAGCAGCAGGTTAAACTCTTCAGTCCAATTTGAAGAAGATACCCCGACGACACTAACCACCTCTTTATATGCCCACTCACATCAGCTCATCAAAAATGCCTCTCCCTGTGGCGCAAACCCGTCGTATCTGACCTTTTCTTAAGCATGCCGTTTGATTAGAACGAAGACAACATACTAGCTTGGTTTATCATCCGATAAATGGATCATGAAGAAATTAACGGTACTCCTAAATGTTTATGTGAGCATTTAAATCGGTTGTATTTTTGGTTAAAAATTACTTGTTTTTTAAGTAATTCTCTGCATTGTAAATTTTTCCAGTATTCAGATATAAAAATGTTCTACATATGTAGTTCCATTATATATCAATACACTAGAGAAATGTCGGCATATTCGATTGTAAAAATTCGGTTTACTCAGTATTCGAAAAATCAAGATTTAGAAAAAAACCCTAAAAAAATTCAAAAAACCGCTTGACGCCGGTTTGGAGAAACCGAATGAATCGCTCTACCATATATACATACATATTTACATATGTATTACCAGCATTTATGAATTGAAAAAACGGAAAATTTTATGTGAAAAAGTGAGTGCATGGAAGAAAAGAAGTTATTGGGCCCTTCACATAAAACTCTCGCTCAGGAGTAATTTTTTGTCATTTTTGAATTTAACACCCAAATTCAAATAAATAAAAGTAAAGAACACTTTAAAATGTTTTGTAAATCGCAAACAATTATTTATTTATTTATTTATTTACAATTATTGAGATTACAACTAGATTATAGCACAATATATATATATATATATATAACGGCTATAGCGTCGAGGGCCATAAGCTATCTCGTTTTATATTTTGTTTAATATAAAACGTGAGTTATAAAAATGTCACTTTATAAAGCTCTTTAAATCTATTTACACTTGTGGTTAGCTGATTAAGTTAAGTGACATTTTGACTAGTTTTGGTTATTTTTATTGTTTTTACTTAATGCTTATATTTTTTTTTATAAAAGTTCAGCACTATAACTAACCAGCGCCGCATAAATCCACATTTATGAAAATTCAACAAACTTTAACATTTGCACCCGAAAAATTTAAATTTCTTATTCAGAATTTTTAAAAAATATTGGATATGCAGTTTTGTAGCTCATTAAATTTTAGTAGGTTAAAGTGCAAATTGCAAGACGCTAGTAAATCGCGTTGATTTTTAATTTTTTATTTTTTTGCCAATGGTGCTCGGCATTTTCTCCCATACAAACGAGATTGTCGAGCAAATTTTAGGCTAACTTGTTCCTTAAAAAGGCCCCAGTCTATATACTAAATAAAGCTCATGAAAAACGCTTGACTTAATTTCGTTTTGTATTTTTTGTTCTTTGCAGATGTTGAAACACGTACAAATTTCACCGCTTCGTAATCGTTCCGATTCGGTTTCGTTGCGCTCAACCACCTCCTGCGCCTCTTCGATATGCGGTAGCCCGGAGCCGCCCACCGATCTGCAGCGTACGCCTTCACGCGCATCCAGTTACTCAAGTTTGAGTGAACAATTACCGCAGGTGAGTTGAAAAATAATTTGAAAAAACGAAAATATAAAAAAAAATTGCACCAAGTTGCATTCCATTTTCTTATTCCTATTCCTATTCCTATTCCCATTGAATATTTTTTGCTTTTGGCTCACTCATTGGGCGCCTGGAAACTTGTGACGCGGATGTATACTGCGATCATAAGACCAATCCTAACATATGGCGCCTTGGTTTGGTGGCCCGGCCTAAGCAAACATTATAATGTCAGAGAACTAAGAAGCACACAAAGACCAGCAGGCGTTGGAGCGTTAAATGCTATCGTCGATCCTAAAATAAGTGGCTATGAAATCGGCGATCAGACTCAAGAGAGTCAGGGCGTTATTCCTATCTAGAAGGGACTGGAGAAACCTGTAAAATCCTATGCAATAGAGTTGGGTACAAGAGTAAGGCAACAATATATTCTGAGAGCCAGGTGGCGCCATTGGCAACAGCGTTACCGGTTACCAAATCCAAGCTAGTTAGGGAATGCAAAGTGATATTGACCTTAGTGTCTCAGTCAAATACCGTCTCTCTTGTCCGATTTCTCGCACATAGGAACATAGAAGGCAATGAGAAGGTGGATGAGCTGGCGAAGGCAGGAGCCGGTTTGGATGAATCCCAAGCGTTGGTACTGGGTTGCCCCCTTTCTTTATGTTCCAATGATCGGATCTAAATCAAATTAGTATGGGACCTCGCCTGAGGCGCCAGAAAAATAATTATCGAAACCGGTTAATGTGGTCCAAAGTTATGCGGTAACATACATACAAAAAATATTCCGATGAATTGATAACCTGCTCCTTTTTTTGAAGTCGGTTAAAAAGAGAAAAATTAATATATTCTAAATTTTTAATAGCTATATTTTAACATTTCTAATAAAATTTACATTAAAAAAATCTCAGCCCTCGATATTTCAAATATCGAAACAAAATATTGTATCGATATCGTTAACCCATATGTTGAACAACGATATTGATATATTGAATACCGTACCGGTGTCGCGCATCCCTAATCCTGGGCAGCGACTAGAAAGCACTGTAAACAACCAACCAACCACTCACTGGGCGAATTCTAAAACCGGCAGGCAATGGCGAATTTCCGAGTATTTTTATGCCACGAAAAAGCTACTCATAAAACCGTTTGCCATTCTATTTTGCGAAAAAGTTAGGATTATTAAGTACAAGCAATTTGGTTTGCCTCGCGAATTTTATTTTGGTACGAATTAGTGCACTGCAAGTATTTTGTTAGTTCCAAAGGATATAATTTTTATCAAAGTGAAGGTATTTCTCATTTTGAAGGGTAAGGATTATAAAACTTTTTTTTTTTTTTTGCATATTACTTACGACTTTTGTCCTCCGGCTCTTTAGACTTTCCTACTTAGACTTGCGAGGTTTCATTTAAACATTAAAAAAAAGTTTTGTGCTGAGTATGTATCCCATCATATAAATCCTTACCCTACATTCATGCATATTCCTGCAATTTTTCATTACGGATTGTTAAACATTTCTAATTTTTCAGACGACCATAAAAGTTTTTACGAATTGCTTGAAAATCGATATCGAATATAAAACGCTCGGCATACAATGGGACACCACCAGCAAGGAGGTTATTACACAGCTACTCCGACGGTAAGTATATTATCTAAATTATTTATTCAGAAACTCAAAATATGTAACTCCAATTTTATTTTGTTTCTTTTACAGCCTCAAAATGCGTCATCGCGATCCACGCCTCTTCTATCTCTCCATGGAAGTATCGGTGCGACGTGCTGGTGTTAAAACCCTTCTTGTGCTGGATGATGATACTCGACCGGCTATACTGCAAGCCTGTCATCCGAAAGGCGAATCGAGGTGAGTTTGTTGAATATAAATAAATAAAGTGCGAAAAGTAATTGGATTTAGAAAATTGCGGAAAGATGATAATCTAGCCTAAGGATTTTTGTTGTAAAATGCAGGATGGAACATAGCAAATTTTTTAGTCGAACACCATGAAGACGACCATGAAGGGAAGACATGAGCGTTCTTATGCATTTTCTTTTTATGTATTTCCTTATGTATTTTCTTAATATGGTCGGCAAAAGCCTTAAAAAGGCTCAAACGCTTTTAATTTTCGCTTACGAATGTTGGATCTATGAGAAGTTTTTTTCTTTCATAAAGTTGCCACTGAAGCTTAAGCTAATTATTTTTTTTCGCTAAGAAATAGTTTATTTATTTCTTTAAGTTCCCACTGAAACTTTAGTTAATTTTTTATTTCCCTAAAAAAAAGTATTTGATTTCTTAACCTTCCAAAGTTCTAAAGTCCATTCAATAATTTGGTCTCCGGTTAGATTTTCTTTTTTCACTACAAGAATTTTCTCGCCTCTTCTAGATTTTGCCTACAACTGAAACCAGGTGGCCTCATCCGTGTACACACCTCCGCTTTACAGCCTTCCTCACAGTATAAGTCTCTGGTTATCTCCGAGGAAACGACGTCCGACGAACTTCTCCAGCTACTGCTATCCTGTTACAACTCGATGGAACCCGTCGAACAGTTCTCCATATATGAGGTGAGTAGAATACATGATGGGTATTCATGGAAAGGCGTAAATGCCTTATAATTGCGCACGCGTGGTAAATAAACCGATTTTGTATAAAAAAATTTGCGCGTTTTGATGAATTGCCCTATGGATATATGAACTTCCATATAAATATTCACCTAAACTCATAATTTTCCTCTCTTTCCAGGTCTGCCCCGGTCAGGAGTACCAACGCAAGCTGCATCCCGACGACTTGCCGCTGCGTGCCCAAGCTGAGCGCATGCGTCGTGGCGAAACCTGCCATTTCCTCGTACGCCGCAATCCGAACTATGTACGTCGTCGGCAATTGCTTGCTACGCTCAATGGTCTCTCTAATAACAATGCAAACAACAAGAACAACAAGAACAACAACAACAACAATAAGTCATATGATGCTAACAGCACAGTTTCCTCACTAGAAGATGATGCCAGCTTACTAGACATATCCATCGAATCGCTAACAGACGATCTGCATAGCTTAATGGCCAGTGATGAGGACGAAGATGGCGCCTCATCCACATCCGGTTCATCGGACACATCTTCAGAGAGCGGTTCGAGTGGCATGCGCCGCACACCATCCGCACTCTCAGTGGTGCCGGCAACGGCGGCGAGACTCAGAGTCGGCGAAGTGTGTCCAAAGTGTCGTAATTCCTTTAAATCATGCGAATTTTGTAATAAAAATTCAGCAATGATGCTACAACTGCAACGCTCCAATAGCACGTCGAGCAGCAGTAGTTGTTCGACGACCAAGACGCTGCAAATGCATCTGCCCAGCTACAGTCCCGTCTACAATATACGCGAAATACGTACCGCTTCGCATAGCTTCTCTGCGCTGGGCAACGATAAGAAGCTGCTAGACATTCAGCTAAATGGGCACTTCGACACGAGTGCTTGCACGCAGCTGCGACCTCAAAGCGTCTGCGTGACGCGTTCAACGCGCATGCTCACCGATGGCAATGGAAATAACAATGGCAACCCGGCAGCGAGTGACTTGAATGGCAATAGCGGCGCAGCAAATGCGATTGTGGCGACGGTTGGTGGTGAGGTGGTTAACAACCATCCAGCCAAAGGTTTGGGGCACTTTGTATATTTGTAGGCGATGGGAGGCAGAAGTTCAATGTTTATTATTAAAATAGACTAGTCAGTTGTAGGGGGGGAAGAGTGTAGCTCCCGTTCGAGAAGCTATCGAAAAAGGAATGCGACTGTGCGATGAATTAGTTGATAACAGTTTTGGAAAAATTTAAATGTATTCTTTTGATCTGAGAACTAAAACTGCGTTAGTCAACTACTTTTTATCAGTGTTGCAAATACTGCATTACTTTAACTTCTAAAATGAGCTTCATTATCGCATATAAAAAGAAGAAATAATTATAAATTGGGATATGCATTAATTTGTAAAACTCTAAATTCTAGCGGGGCAAATCCCTTGATGTTGCATACACTTGTAAATAGTTACTTTACTTTTTAAACTATATTTTAGCTTTATTTTAATTAAGTCTGGATTATTACTCCGTGCGACAGTAAATTTTACACAGAAAAAAAAATGAATATGTTCGCGAAACTATGGGTAAATTATGGTAAAACTGCGTACTTAGTTTTTCTCTCTGATGTCAGCATTTTTTTTAAGGGACTTCGAAATTTAAAAAATATGATTACTTATTTCAAAAAATTATTATTGCAAAAATTCGATGCAATTTAGGAAGCAATAAGGGTATCATAGTTATAAAAGACAAAATTCTGTAGAATTATAACAGAGTCAATGGGTATGGAAAATGTCCTTTACAAATTTTGTCCTTAAATATCCTTTAAAATTTGGCAATATTTTTTCTTTTTTTTTTAATTATTGTATGAGGACTAATATCATCATCGACTTCCGTTCTGCAAACTTTATCAACTTAAAAAGATAAAATTTATTAAAAACTTTATTGTTTTTAAATTATACAGAATATTCTCTGACATTTGTTACCCACATGTTTATTCTACATTGCACTGATTTTTTTTAAATATTTTTTTTTTTAATTAATCATGTCTCTAAAATTTCAAAGTTCTTTTGAAAAAAAAATCCTGACGACAGAGTGAAAAACGAAAAACGCAGTTTTACTATATTTGGCCCCTAGTTTTGTGAGTATTTCGTGTGTTTTGATTTTTTTTTTTTTTTTTTGATTTTGTCGCACGGTGTTATCTTTTAGTTAGTTTTTTATTAGATCGACAGCAAATCGTAGTGAAACCCAACCAAAGAACATTTTAACACAATTTCAAAAATTTTTAATTAAGCTTAACATTCTTAACTTTCTGTTCTATTTGTTTAGTTATATTAGGGAGAAGAAAAAGTTTTGAAAATCAATCAAAACGCCGTTTCTCTTGACAGCTAAACTATTTTTTGTATATAATGTTTACTATATACATGGCTAATCATATACATATGTATGTAGGTATTTATTTCTTAAATTCGAATTTTGTATGTGCTTGTGTGTTTTTGTATTTCTAACTAATAAGTTAAAACGGAAGGAAACTGTAAATCTTTACGTTTAAGCAGCAAAACTAATTCCAAATATAGTTAATATTTTGCCTTAATGAAGTGTCAAGGAAGTTTTAATAAATTTAAAAAATTTCCCAATTAATGGACAGTAAATTTAACCAAAATACTAAATATAAAAGCACACGCTTGAGTCTATAGTTTTAGCACAAAAATAATTGATTCAAAACATTCATACACACAAATAAAAGTCGTAAAAATCATTTGCAGCAGTTGCAGCATTTTTCTTTTATTTGTATGCCAACCCTAAATATATAATTTATAAATATGTATACATATGTACAACAAAACTAACTATATGTCTGTATGTACTTTATTTCTTTTTGTAAAGCAAGCAAAAATCAATGTAAGAGTTAAAAACGCTAACACAATTTTTAATAAATACCGAATAATGGAAAAAATGTAAGCAAATATGTAACGTCTTTGGAAAATTAGTCTAGTGACATGCCCCAAAATTTTAGCTTCTGTATTCAAAAGCCACTGAAGAAAAAAAAACGTTTGTAACTTTTCCAGTTTTCGAGGTATCGGCATTTGGGATATATTTAGCTTTAGGGTCGTGGGATCGGAGCGAAATAGGTCTTCCAAGCAAATTCGATTTCTAAACCGCCAGTTGCTTGAATTGCTTCCATATCAGCCTTGCAATAATGCCAGTTATCGTGTTGTTTGTATGTGATTCTACTCGAAGGAAGGTAGGACCTTGCAAATGAAATTACCAAATTATTAGAAATTAAAATTAAAATTACAATGCTTGGAATTGGGATGAAAAGTTCATGGAATTTTTATAATTTTTGAACAAAAGTCTGAAATTTAGACTTATGTACATACATACATATATGGTATTTGTTGAATAAAGAGCTATACTTTTATATAAAAATAATGAACCAAAAAAAAAACTAAAGAAACGCAGTCAAAACTGGTAAAAATCTTGTTGTCATATCTTTTGTCGCGGATTGTATATCTCCAAGGATATGAAAAAAATCAAACCATTTCGTCGATTTTCGAAGTTGAGCAATGAAATTTAGTAGACAGACAGCCGCTTCAAATTATTTCATTCAAATTTATGTGACGATTACGGATGGCAAGCGAACTTCAGTTGGGTTGCCAATGACTGAAATGGTATTACAGATGGCAACCGGCAACTGGAAACCGAGTTGCTAAATTGCCAACTGTATTTTTGGGGTGGCTGTGCAAACTTTGATTGAAATAATTATTTTTTTATTTTTTTTTTTTTCAAATTTTTTGAGCTTATTTACACTCAAGTCTTAGTTGCTAGTATTTCAAAATTATATTTTCAACTTTATAGCACTTAACTGTAGCTGTTACTACTCAAAATAAACATTTTCATTTCAGTGGCGTTGCCCATCGGCAACCCAACTGAGGTTGCGTTACAATCCATTTGCAAACTTCTCCGACACTGGCAAAACTGCTGCGCAAGGAACTTCATCGGCGGCGCTGCTTCGACTTTGGAGTTCGTGTCGACGCGTTGCTTTTGCTTCGTAGCTTAAAATATTCAAAAAATAAAAACTGTTAATTAGATCGTGTCTATAATCCCAGCCTAATCTTTGCTGCTTTCTCTTGTTACCCAGTTATAATGCTGTTATAACTCGTAAGACCAGCTTAAACTACCTCAACAGATGTCGCAATATGAAGCGTGTGGTTGCAAACCTTTCACACCAGGTGTCGGCATAATCAGTTTTCGCGCGCTCTTTTTACAATCGCGTCGTTTTTCGCAGCGTGGGTGAAAATTATAAATTTTGTGATAAATAGTACTAAAAATTAAGTGTTTTAATTAAAATCATGTAGCAGTGAGTGCTTTCTTTTGGAAGTATATATAAAAAAAAAAATCTAATCGTGCAATGTTTCAAATACGTTTATTGTGAAAGTTCAATTGGTTTTGTGAAAATGCCGCAACCGTAGTGAACAGACGCGTTAGAACAGTTACTCGACTATACTGTGAGAACAGTTAAGAGTAGAGAAATATGACTGACAGATGCCGCTGTAGTAAGCACGAGATTGCAGATCGATGTCACTAGGTGCCGCAGCAATCAAGGTGATCTAGAATGGTAATAGAAATAGGCCGTCATCGATTCGCCACTTCGCTGCTTGCCATGTTTGAGTTCCGGTCGCTTAACGAAAAATTTTGCATGTGAAAGCAACAAAAAAAGTTAGCTAGCACGGATAGACGATAGCGAGTTTGGTTGCACCTCGTTGAGTTCGTTCGCTTCGCCACTCGATAACTGTTGGCGAATCGATGACGGCTATTATTTTCCATTTTCCGATTGCCCATTAATACCAGCGATGACACTAACCAAGAGTATTTTGCGCACCGAAGATTTTCCAACACAGGAAGATACATGTGCTGAGATTTTGTGAAACATTTATTCAAGTGGATGTGGAAAGCATGCATGCATATTAGGGTGGGTCAAAAAGAATCAAGTATTTTTTTTTTTTTTGGATCCGACACTTACTTACCAAATCTGAGCTCTTAATATTAACGGGAAGATTATGCTCATCATAGTTTTCCATTTTCAATTTAGTCTCATATAAAAATGGTCATATCTTATCACCAATAGATCGTTAAACCAGTTGCATAATCAATGTTTATAGGAAATTGAACGCTTTACAAAATTGGTCTCCTATACTCTTTTCACTAATCTAAAATTTTTTTCCATGAGTATAGTATTGATTTCATATATCTCCATACCAAGTTCCAGTACTCCACCACAAATACTTCCAGAGGTGTGCAGTATGATAAATTCCGTTTGTATGGGAGTTGCCACGCCCCTTTCTCTAAGCGGGACAGATGTTACCCTATCTTTTAAGTTGGACTAAATGTCACCAGTTTGCGAAATCAATATTAAGTAAAAAAATTACGCACTGATCACGCGTTTTCTCAAGAAGATTTTTCAGCAATGATAATGACCGCATTGCTTTAACCTAGGATACTTCTTCTGAAGAATTGAAGAAGCATCTATTATACCTATAAATGTAAAATAAGTACCGCTCAACGACTACCATAAGAGTCGGAGTCGGCGTAAAACTATAGCTCCCTTCTCTTATTGTGACAAACCACCCACCAATAACCATTCGTTCACTGCGGTTGGGTATATGTAATTAGGTAGGTACGTACATATTTACTCAAGCATAACAAAGATTAAGCATTTAATATGAAAACATTTTATTTTAATTTAACTAACCAATACATTATATATTTCTATACATACATATGTACATATGCATGTGTGTTAATCCAATTAAATTCATTCATGGAGCTCTCTCGTCCGCTCCTAAACTTATATGCAGACCTGAGCTCAGTTGTTGGCTTATACCATCCTCGTTATCTTTTTGCTGTGTATCATGCGTATTCACTGTTATCGCCTCAATTTTCTTTCCCTTCGGCTCACTAAGTAGCTTATTTAGCTGTCCTTCGATTTCATGCCATGCAAAATCCATATCTTCCTCTTTCGGGTCCATGCCACACACAGCATAGCGTATGAAATCCTTGCCACCAAATGATGCCTGCACCATATAAAGCTTCTTACGGTCCGTTATGCGCTGCAGTAGATCTGCGGTCAACTGATTGTCTCCCTTCACTCGAAAGCAAACCAATCCCAATGAGCGTTTAGCCACCAATTCCACGCGTGCATCTGCTAGCACATGCTGCTCGAAACGTTTTGCTAAGCGTAGTTGCTTGTGCATGTGCTCACGCAAGCCTTCGGCGCCGAAAATGCGGAAGACGAGCCACACTTTGAGTGCGCGGAAGCGGCGTCCCAGCGGAATTTGCCAGTGTCGGAATTCCGGAATATCCGTTTGTCCATTGTATTTGCTCTGCAGGTAAATACGATCCACATTGAAACTGTCCACAACGCGATTTGAGTCACGCACCCACATTGCTGTGCAATCAAAATTTACCAACATCGACTTGTGCAGATTGTAGTTGAGCGAATCCACTCGCTCAAGCCCACGACGCAATTGCGCGTGATCATCTAGCGCT